ATTTACTGTGTTGGATCTTTTCAATTCTATTCACTCTCATATGTCAATTCTAGCTGCTATTTCCTATGTTATTAGAATCCTTGTCACAAATTGATCACTGATGCCTATTACTTGAAATTTTATCCTGTGTTTTCCTGCTGGTAGTTTCAGAGTTTTGGGTCCTACATTATAGCATTTCATCCACATTAAACTAATTTGATATAACATGAGCAATAGCATTATATTTTTAGCTTTCAATTGTGAAAGTCCAGTTTTTCTGGAATGATTTGTTAAATATGCTTTCTTTTCTGTAATGTCACAGTAGAAGTATATGTTCATTTTTAAGTCTATATTTTATTTCCATTTGTCTACATTGTTGTGTGTGGTTTTCATTTTTACCTTGGAAAAGTTTTTTATTGGGACAGATTAATGATATTGACATTTCAAGTTGATTTTATAGCTTGCTATCTTTCTAAAAATGTTTATCAGATATCAAGTTTTTAGTTGGACTCTTAGAGCACTGAAGCATAAAAACAGGTGGCCTGGAAATAGGGATGTGTTGACTTCTTCTTTTTTAATAGGCTTGTCTTTAAGCTCAATCTCTTCTTCGAATTTTCCAGTAAAAACTTAAAGTAATACTTTCAATAAACATTGCACTAATGAACACTCTTTTTTATTCCTTGTTTTTATTTTGTGGAAAATCTTAGATTTTTAGTTATTTAGTAAAATGCTGGATGTTGTAGAATATTAGCTAAAAATGTGTTACATTCCTTTATGCTATAGAATATTTGTTTAATGATGCAAAGATATGTTGTATTCTTTTAGGTTGCATTTGCTTAAATCTGTGAATCTGTGTTGTTTTGCATGTCTAAAACACCTGATTGGCCTATTAAAGAGGTGAACAGCTAATAGCTAGGCAGGAGAGAGAAATAGGCTGGGCTGGCAGGCAGAGAGACTAAATAGGAGAAATCTAGAAAAGAAGGAAAAGGGAGAAAAGGAGAAAGAGAGAGGACAGCAGTGGTCAGCCATGCAGGCAGCCAGCCAGCTATGGTTTAAGAAAGATAGACATATATTGGAGAAAAGTAAAGGCCCAAAGGAAAAAGTTAGCCAAAATAATTTAAGAAATACTGGCTAGAAACAAGCCAAGTTATGGCTGAGCATTCTATAAGAAATAGTAAGTCTCTCTGTGTTTATTTGGTAGCTAGGTGGTGGGCCTCGAAAGAGCAAAGAATAAAAAGCAATAAACCACAGTTTGATATAGACTTGCCAAGCATAATACAGCCTTCATTATGTTGAGGTAATGTCCCTCTATTTGGAATTCCTTTAATTATGAAGAAATGTTGAACTCTGTTATAGGTCTTTTGTGCACTTCTTGAGATGATTTTATGATTTCTGCTCCTAGATCTATTTATGAGTTGTATTACTTTTATTTATTAGGTATTTTGAACAATCCTGCATCCCTACTCTCAACTTGTTGTATTTTAGAATCACCATGTAAACAGATCTCTGGAAATGTCAGTAACAGATTATCTTGATACAGTCAATTGATGTGAATGGGCCAACCTAACTATGGGTAGTGTCACTCAATGGTTTGAGGTCTCACCCTGAGTAAAAGAAGAACATGAACCTAGTATAAGTATCAGTTACTTTCTGTTTCATAACTGTGAAAGCAATGTGATTTATGACCTCTTGCTGCCATATTGCCCCTGCCATGATATATTGGACTCCTTGAAGCTATGTGCCTAAATACATCATTTATCCTAATGCTTTGATCAGATATTTTGTCACAACTATGAGAAAAGTAACACATACAAAAGTTGGTACTAAGAAATTGAACTGTTGCTAAAATAAATCTGACAGTGTTTCTGTTAAGGCTTTGTAACTTTAGGGCTTTAGACTCTCTGTTTTTCAGCAATTTGCAGTAGAAATGTCTTTCCATGATATAAATTGAGCTTAATAAGACATTGTGGTGAAAATTTGGAAGAAAAAAAATAAAGATAAAATGGTTCCTTGAAGATCTAGAGTAGATTAAGAACTCTATTATGAACTGTTCAAAGGGATATTCATCTGATAGTCATCTGACATTCAGGAATCCTCTTCTGGCAAAGAATCTTGTTTAAGTAAGCACAGAAAACAATTTAGTAGTCTTAGACTATACTTGGTTTGGTTAGCCACACAACCTCTTCTTTTAAGAAAGGACATGAGAGGCTATTTACCTCCATATACTATGAATATGCACCTTCTTCAAGCAATACACAAACATATGCTGGTCACTCATTTGCATTGAGCTACAAAGATAAAGCCTCTGAACTCTGATGATAAATTTTTCTTTCCCTTAATGATCTTTAAACTCTCTGTTCAACTTATTCTATATGTATTCTGGTGCTGTGGGATGTCTTTCTGTATGCTGTGAATATGTGTTGCTCTGATTGGTTGATAAATAAATCTGTTTGGCCAGTGATAAAGCAGAATAAGTTTAGATGGTATGTGCCAACTGAAAAGAGAGGAGAACAGAGGAGAGGAGAGGAGAGAAGGATATCAGCCTGCCGCACAAAGAACAAGAGGCCAGCAGAACAGTAAAGCCACTGAACACATGGCAAAATATAGATTAATAGAAATGGGTTAATTTAAGACATGAGAGCTAGCTAGCAGGAGGCCTGCCATAGACCATACAGTTTGTAAATAATATAAAGCCTCTGAGTAATTATTTTATAAGTTACTGTGTGACCACAGGGCCAGACAGGACTGTAGAAAACTTTCGATTATATTTGGCCTCAATTCATTATGGAGTTTGCTTTCTTTGTGGCAAAAGATAGCCACTGGGCAAAAGAGTGCCCTTGCCTCAATTGCTTGACAGGATGTTGTACATATAGGACCCATAGGAAAATGACCACTGGATTTTGCCAAAACTCAGTAGGATAGTTCTTCAGGTTCCTGCTTTGCAGAAGAGACTACCAGACAATACACAGGACACAAGGAGAAGTGACTGAGAGACTAGGCCTACAGGGTGAACATGGATTCCCCAACATTGCAGAGGAACTTTGGATGACTGTTCAGGTAGCAAAATTTCTCTGTAATTTCTAGAATTATGGAAGTTGCTTGCAATATACTTCCTGTTTTCTCAGGTAATATTAAGTCCTTCTGGAGTCTTTGATGTAGTTGAAGACTAAATAGTTATACTTTTCCTTAGTTATGATGAAAGATAAATTAGATATAAAATTTTTAACTCAAAAATAGGATAGATGATAGAATATTTTATTATTTTTTAACTAGACAATTAAGCAAACCTTTATTGAAGCTTACATTGAGGTACAGAAATAAATTTCAGATGATTAAAAGCCCAACACCAATGAAAAGAAATTATGGCACCCAAACTTCCCATCTTGCAATCACACTAGGATCACTATTTAATCTACTATTGGTTTTCTAGGCTTTTTCCACATAAACCTCTGCAAATTTCAACATTAGAATTTGTAATTCTGTAAGATGAGGAAATCAGACCTCAAATCAACAAATTCTCATGGGTTACAAAATCCAGCTTAAATAAGCACTGGTCCTCGAAATAGCAGTTCAAACATTAGGTGCTGTGGTCATTACAGAGTCAGACTGATAAAGCTGATTTGAGGCTTCCCCAATGAACATTCAATCAACAGCGTGCTTAAAGTAACAATCCAGACAGTGTTCCAACCACTTGATTTCAAACCAAGTAGATTCTATATTTAGAAATGCTAAAAAAGTGTTTCCTTATAAATACAGAAGAAACAGAACATCACTGCATCAGTCCAGAAACTATCAAGAAAATAGTAAAAAGGAAATTTAGTAAAAATTAAAAATAGGAAATTTAGTCCAATTTGCTCTTCTCCCAGCTGTTTAAATCCCACAACATCTGCAAATGCCACTAACATGCCAACTCTTGAAAGCTATATTTCTAGTCCCATTAAATATTTCAGAATATTGAGTTGTTTTGTGTATTTATACATTTACTACCTGGCTGAGTAACCTGGATAGTCCTCACTCTGGAAAGCTTTTCATTTGATCATGTGAACACCATGGTGAAGGAAGACCACATAGGAACAGGTGAAGTCAGAACAACTCACATGCAGCACAAAAAAATATACAACTTCTAAGTCACAAATGGAAATGCCACAGATTCTCCTTTGAATCAAATTTTTTTTTAGTAGAAATTGGTGGCCATAGGTTAAAAGTTGACTGCACGTTCCGAGGTCAGAATGTTTAGGATTAAATGTCTGCCTTGACTCAGTGGATTTCCTCCAATCACTAATTAATAAGTTAGTGAAGGCATGGCAGGTACTCCATTAAAGCTTTTTAATGCTTTCTAAAGCACTGCACAGCCAACCAGTTCCATCAAGGCTTTTTTTTATGAGTTCTCTCTGCTAACCAACCTGGAGACTGAACTCTTTTCATTTAATACATTGTTTTGTCATTTATCTTCCACAGTTCATGCCAATAAGGAGGCCACATTCTTATGTCATAAAAAAATTAAGCCAGGGTCCATCTCAAATTCCCACTTGGGATATAAGATTCATATATATGTATATATACAATTGAGGGAAGAGGAAAAGACACCGTGGTGAGAGAAGAAATCAATCACCAGACTATAAAAGCAGGAACAACTATAAAAACAATAGAACACAAAAGAGTAACTGGAATCAGCATTTTCTTATAAGGACTCAACTTATGGAAGAAAAACTTAATTGCCATTGCATAAAACACCTGTATGAAGTAAAAATTGGTCTTGAATAACATTAGTAGAGAATATGATTTAGAAAGTGGAAATAACTGGATGTAAAGACTCTGGCAGCAAATTAATAGAACAGTCGCAGAGGCTAGCAATCTAATGAAGACAAAAGCCTTGTCTGTGGAGGATTTTGGACAATACCTGCAGAAATATTACAATGTGCATAAACCAAATTGAATCATTTTCACAAGTGTCATAAGAATTCATACCGTCAAAGTTCTTTTCTACATGTACTTCAATATTACAGTAAGAGTGTCATAGAACACCTAAACACAGAGGAGAGCATTCATGCAAGATATCTAACTCCTTGATATAATAATGCATACACTTCAAAATGATCACACTATCAATACACTTAGGGCTTTCTGCAACTACAAGGTTGTGGTCATGGAGAACAGAGCCCCTAGTGTCAACATCTAGAAAGCAGCTACCACCTCCTGTGTGTCTTCTCTTTTCACGTTTTTTCTTCTTCATTATTCTTAATCAACTCTGCTGTTATTGCTGCTTCTTAACAAAACTGGTAAAAACAAAATTGTAATCATTGAACATAGCACTCTGGCAATCAAGACGTTTAAAACCTTCATTTTTCTGGGGGCAAGAAAGCACTGTGTGACATTTACAATTCTGATTAGCAAACAAGGTGGACACAAATTTTCCTGACTTGAAGACTTCCACAACCTGACTGATCAGGTCATCATAGTAGGTCTGACTTAAGTTTTTTTCAAAGCTAACATAAGAGAATTCTGGTTCTGGAATGACGTGAATAGTCCAATATGTTCCATCCGATTTCATCCCATTCATTGAGTAGCCACAAGGATTGAACAGTGTGGCATCAATGACAGAACCTGGTATCAGGTCACGAATTCCACTCTCATGAGTGACATCCTTTGTAGTAACACCATCTTTCATGCAGAACTAACTGGTCCATAACTGCTGGGTTGAGCTCACTCATCTGAATTTCCAGGGTTTGATCTGGATGATTGATTACTCATCTCTCTGGGAAATCCAAAGTATACAAGTCAGAATTCATATGTCCCATACAATATGCTACTCCTTTTGGGAAAATTGCATTAAGAAACTCAATTTCTTCCTGGAAATTCAGGTGTGGGTCCCCTTGGTGAGAAGGTTTCATTAAATTCTTATGGGAAGAAGCTTTGAATTGAGTCAAACCCACTGTAATCCCAAGCAAGCTTCAATAGAGGAACCAGTGCTTTCAATAAGAGGGTTGTACCACATGTCTTCAAAATGAAATGTCTCTTGGAGGCAAACATGCTACTCTCACTGAGTACATAAGCTTCCTGCTTATCAGTCTTTGTCACACTTATGATTGAGCACTGCACATTCTTTAAAAGGACATCCCACTCAGATCTTGGGATGGTACAAAGATCCCCAGATCCCTGGCTTGCATCAGACTACTGCCTGGAGAACCAGACCTCCAACAGTTTCTTGGTCCTTTCGAAAAAATGTACAGCTTCCATCATTGTGAGACTAGGGAACAACCAACAAGCATAGAAAATCAAGTAAATTAAATCTCTCTCCCACTACTCCTGATGCTGCTGCGGATTGTTCGAGCTGTTTTACTAAAGTTCAGGTTCCTTTTTTTTTTTTTTTTTTGCTATAATTTTATATTAACTTTTTTTAAGAACTAATAAAATTTTCCTGGCTATTTTTGTGAGTGAAAGTTGAATGTGAATCTGCTGGAAATAGAGGAAGATACAGTTCAGTCTCTTGTAGTCTGCTACTTTCCCGTTAGAGAGAGTTGAGTGAGCACTAGCTAATGTCGCTGGCCATACTGTATAAGCCAGAATATTTTCTTTAATTTTGCCAAATATGAATGGACTAGACATTGTAACTATAATTCTTGCTTGATAACTGTTTATTATATGTAATTTTACTATGTTAAAGTTAAAACCTTTTTTTTTATTAGACAGAAAAGGGGAAATGTTGTGGGATGTCTTTCTGCATGCTGTGAAAATGTGTTGCTCTGATTGGTTGATAAATAAAGCTCTTTGGCTAATGGTGAGGCACAATAAGGTTAGGCATTCCAACTGGAGAGAAAGGAGAATAAAGGAGAGCGGAGAGAGACACCAGCATGCTGTCCAAGGAACAAGCCACAGAACATGCAGCAAAACATAGATTAATAGAAATGGGTCAATTTAAGATATAAGAGCTAGCTAGCAAGACTCTGGCCATGGGCCATACAGTTGATAATTAATATTAAGCCGTTGAGTGATTATTTTATAAGAGGCTGTGAGACCATGGGGCTGGGTAGGACTGGAGAAAACATCTGGCTATATCCTGTTATCAAGTAGCTAGTCCTGTTCTTTTTGAATTGTTTTGTTATTATGAAAATATAACAAAATGGTGTCATTTATGAAACTTTTAGAGTGAATTCTCTATTCACTACCTTATGCCTATTTGACATTGATATGATTAAAATCAGATGCAACATGGCAAGGAACATGTGTACTGCAAAATGATTGTGTGACCTGATCTAACTATCAAAACAAAGAACCACTTTCACTACATCCCTAAGTAATCCAATTCTTCCTTCTGAGCCCCATAAAAAGAAGCACTAAACCATAATGAAAGCCCTCTGGGTACATTCATTACTGTAACCTGCTGCTCCTTTGTTGTATATCTTTGCTCTGAATAAAATTTTTTCTTGATATTTTTTTCTTTTCAGTCTCTGAGTTTATTTAATTTCCTTGTATATGAAGCCAATAACCCAGAAAGATATAATCCCAACCCTGACCAATCTGTCTATATTTCTTTTTAAATCTTAAGAACTTATGTGATGTTGAATTTAAAAGTAAAGGACTAGTTTATTTGGTACAAGGTAGCATTCAAGCTATGTCATGATTGATACTCATCATTCTCATTTAATTCTACAGTGAGAGAAAGCAATAAGGAGTCGATAGAGATTTGAAAAATGTGTGCTATTCGGTGAGGAAAGGTACTTTCCTTACCAAATAGAAAAAGGAAAAGTACTTTTTTTCACATTTTTTTTTTTTGTGAAAACAGCTGTGATCTTCAAAGAGATTAACACTGTTAAAGAAAAATGGATAACACTTCAATAATGCTAAGAAATAGTGTCTGGAGAACAAGATCCCATCAATCAGACTTAATCTTGTAAAAATGCAAATTGATTTGACAGAAGCGAGGTTAACTTGAGAACACTACTGAAGGAGTTTTAGCTTCTCAAAGGCAAATTACAAGGAAATATTTTCTCAGGGTAGACAGTCAGAAATTAATTAAAATGTGATCCAATGAACCAGGCTCCATCCTGACTTAGAATTAGAACTTGGCTACATCATTCAAATGGCATTAGTTTTTTAGACATAAAAAGCAAGACACTCTGAGATGTCATAGAACCTTATCCCATGTTTCCAAAGAAATATCCATGTGCATCAGTGTCAGAGTCCCTGAGAGGCTACTGTATGTTAAGTATCAATTTGAAAAAGTGTAGAAATACGATTGTCAACTTCATTATGAACTTGTTGTTATTTAGAGTCATCATGGAGATAAACCTCTGAGCATGTGTGTTAGAGGTTATCTAGATTAGGGCAATTAAAGGAGAAGACCAACCTTAAATATAGACAGTTCCATTCCACAATCTATCATTTAGCACTGAATAAAAAGGAATGAGAATGAGTATTTATTCTCTGCTTATTGAGAGTGGGTGAATTCAATGGGAAGAGGCACACCTCCTCCTTTTCCACGATGAAAATAAACCCTGAGATTGTAAGACTAAATTAGTTTCTGAGGTCATTTTTGTCAGATATTTTGTTGCAATGATGTGAATAGCTCTACTATACCCAAAAAAATCATAACAAGGACAGTAATACAAGGAAGTCAGTATTTCATTAGACATAAGAGTATTTGATAATTTTACACTTTAAAACTGATTAACAAATAAATTTTTCTTTACAAATTTTGAATATTTCTCAAAACATGACAGAAAATATTACTTCACAAGGGTTTAAGAACTTTTATGCTTATATGATGAATGAGATTTTACAGGAAATATATGACCTTCCTGAGACATATTTGGTATGCACCATTTGGACATCTACCATAATAATTCACATAGCATTGAAAAACTGGTTTAATAATAATAATAAAGATGAGTTATTATTGGGACTGATGCAGGCTTTGCAAGGTAGTGATGAAGTCTCACATAAAAATATTCTTTCTCTGAAATCTGCTAACCAGGAGTTACAAGATAGTAATGAAAACTTACATAGTAGGCTCCTTAGTTTGGAATCTGTTAACTTACTATAAGAACATTAGTCCATTAATAATAAATGTACAAACAGATTAGATTTTATTCATACTAAATATGAATACTTAATGGATAGAACAATCACTATCCATGATGAAGTTGTTGCTACTCAGACACTTTATAATGAAGAAAGATTGTCATTAACTGATAAAATAGTGTCTATGGAATCATGGGTCTCAGAAGAACATAAAATGTTGCATGATTCCATGAAATCTCTTGAATCTCTTACCACAAAGGAAGTTCATTCTCTGGAACAGACCCTAGGTGCTCATTTGCAAGCCCTGGAAGAAACTCTCAGTAAAGATGACAAGAGACCTAATAAGCAGAAAGGCAAGACAATACAGGTTGTGACATCTCCAGATGACTCTCATACAATGGCTTATCCTGTCATCACCCATGAGAGGCCAGCAGATAATAGACATCCTGAGCCATATGTGGACTATAGATTACAACCTATTCTGATGAGAGATATTTAAAAATATAAAGAAAGTGGTAGTCACTTATGACATACACTCAACATATGTAAGACAGATGTTAAGTTCATGGTCTACCTCAAATAGAATCATACCATATGACTGGAATCAGTTAATTTCAGCTACTCTAGAATATAGCCAGCAGTTGCAATGGAAAAACTGGTTGAGAGAGGAGGCTAAGAACCTGAAACAATAGCATGAGATAAGAGGTTTTAAGATCTCCCAAGATCAAATTCCTGGTGAGGGACATTTCATTGATAGAAATGTACAAGCCACTTATGAAGAGCATACACATCTCTATGCCATACAGAAGCTCTAAATGCTTGGGGGAAAATTCTAGAACCAGGAAAACCAACTGAGATGTACACAAAGATATTCCAGGGACCTCCAGAACCTTTCACTGATTTTTTTTTTACAAAGGCTGATCATGACTATAATGAAAGCTGTGTCAGATAAAGAATTAAGACAAGTATTAACTGAGCACTTGGCATTTGACAATGCTAATACAGAATGCAAAAGAATACTTATGTCATTAAAGGTCAGATCAGCTCCATTGGAAGAATGAATTCAGTATTAAAGATCTTGGGTCTCTTAACCATATTAATGAGGCTTGGAGAGGAGAGGTAATTTCCAGAGGTGGAAGAAGGCCCCAGGGTACAAAATGCTTTAAGAGTGGTATACCAGGTCATATAAACAAAACCTGTACACAGGGTACTCTAGAAGTAATACTCCTTCTAGAAATAACCCAAACAGGAGATCCCAAACTTCTGGATTATGTAGAAGATGTGGCAAAGCCTGACATTGGACCAATAAGTGCAGATCAATAATAGATATATGAGGCAACCATTTACTGGTGGGAAGTGCCTCAGGGGGCCTCTTTCAGGCCCCCAAATTTAACATGATCCAAACTTTTCCTGTTGCTGTGGAGAAAATTCCTCTCAAGGACAAGTAAATAACCCAATATCTAATGTAAAATGTAGATGAACAGTCTTATTAAATAAGAAGCACAGAGCCAGTTGTAGAGTTAAAAGCCCAAGAGATCAGAGCAGCAGCTGAGAGCTGAGACTAAAACCACCTTTCCTACCCTTAGCTGCTGCTGTCATCCTTCCCCTCAGCAACCTACTTCCTGTGTGTGTCTTTTTATTAACTTTCTGTTCTGCCTTCTCATTGGTTGTAAACCCAACCACATGACCGCCTCGTCACTGCCCATCTACACAGACCCAGGTCTTCTATGGTTGGTATTGAGATTAAAGGTGTGTGTCTCCATGCTGGCTGCATCCTTGAACACACAAAGATCTGCCTAGCTCTGCCTCCCAAGTGCTGGGATTAAAGGTGTGAGCCACCACCGCCCAGTTCTGCTATGGTTTGCTATTAGCTCTGACCCCCAGGCAACTTTATTTATTAACATACAAATAAAATCACATTTCAGTACAAATAAAATATCACCATATTTCCCCTTTTCTATTTTAATAAAAGAAAAAAAGTTATACCTAATATAAGAACAATTATATACAAAAGTACAATAACTATATTCCATATATACAAACAATAAATACCTAAACAGTGTCTAGTCCATTTGCATTTGACAAATTCAGAGAAAATAATTCCACTATCTATCCTATTTTGGTAAGTCCAAAATGTACCTGATTCACTTTCTATCCTAACTTATATTACTAACAGAACTGTCTTATAACGTCTTTCAAATTTATACACTTAGTCCTCTTTAGTGAGTTTCTTTTCTGAAATTCTTAACAAGGAAAACTATAACTATAACTAACTAATCTCCAGTTCCCTCAGAGACCCAAGAAGGAAAATAATATTACCTAATAAAAAAATTAAAATAGGAAGTGTATGCAAGCAGCTTCAAAAAAAAAAATGTGAGTTGACAGAAACAGCCTGCTACCTGGATAGTCACCTGATGATTCACTGCAATGTTGGGGCATCATCTTCAGCCAATAGGCTTAGTATATCTGACAGACTCATTCAGACTCATTTGTGAACTAGGACGTACACAAGGTTAACAGTTCGACCTCAAATTTTGTG